AAGTTGTCGTGAAATTGCCTTCGAATTAATGCGATCTTAACATGCAAAACGATCGTGAGAGGTTAAGAACGGTGTTTTTTTTTCATCCAATAAATCTTGAGAAATTTTCTGAATTATTTACTCATTTGCGTGAAGCGAATAATCATGTAATTATGTATAATTGCTGGTTATTATGAATAATTACTAATTGTGTCTAAGCAACTTTGACGAGTCATTTTATCAAGAACACTTTTTATGGTTTTAATGAAACCTGAATATATTTGCTGCAGTAAGTACAAAAAATAAAATATCTGTTACAGAACTATTATTTAAGCAATCACGTACAACCACCTTATAATGAGTATGCACAATTTCTGGTAAATGATGAATATACTTAATTCGGTATAGTGAAAAAAAAATACTTTTTTAATCCTTTCTGACGTCTCGTCCTAAAGTCTCGTTACACTTGTTCCAAAATAAAAATCCTCTAGAATTAAATCAATCCACTAGAAATGAATCAATAACTTCCTCTTAACATCCACCCTTTCATGGAAAGCCACTATTCTTTAAATAGTATAAAGCTAAAATACTTAATGAGGAAGTGCTGTCTACGGTCGTTGCTAAAATTTATTGTGATGCTAAACTTTTCATCTGAATTTTGTTGTATTAGAAATGGGTAAATTATATTTTTTAATATGATTTGTTAGGCTTTATTTAAAACTTATTCAAGAAACTATTCTAGTGCGTAAATTTATAAAAAAAAACTATTTAACGAACATTGTTATAAAGCTATACTGAATTAACTTATTTACTAAACGTTTTTAAAGCTATTGTTATACATAAGTATCAGAGGCTTTGTATATTGCTGTAAATGCATATTAGTAGAATAAGTTGTGGAAGAGAATGTTGAAACCTTGCTTAAAAATTTTGTCAATATCTGTTTAGTTTTGAAATTCATTAGAAACACAATTATACTAATTACAGTTTTATGCTCTTCATTCATAAAAGAATAATTCCTTCTTTATGTTCTTTTTTTTTATAATTAATTCTTTTAAATAGCATCAATAATAAAGTTTCCAGAGATATTCGCGTATAGGTTTAAAAAAAAATACAACCAAATTATCAGCAAAAAATGTGTCTTTTAAGTGTGTGAAAGTCTCACAAGGGAAACTAGGGAAGTGTGACTCTCCAATTTTGAAATAAAGTAGTGGGGTGTATGCCTTATGAGGAATAATTTTAGGGGGCAACATTCGTTTCGGCCCATAGAAGGTCCTGTGAGAGATAAAAAATAATTCAATATATAGTATTTTATTACTTCAATGCAGACTATTAGTTATTGTAATTGTCTCATACTCCAATTAATTTTGTGGTACTTTCACGTACTATATATAATGCATATTTATTGTCAAAATTATTTCAAAAATTTTATATATCTGTAGTTTTTCAGAAAAACCTGTTAGGTTAATTTAAAAAAAAAAAACTGACAACGAATTTTTAAAAAAAAATTTTCACAAAATTTTCCAATTAATTGGAGTATGTAATTGCAAATAAATTAATTAATAATTGATTAATAATTAATTAACTTGCTAATTAATTGATTAGTTTGCTAACTAATTAATTAACCAATTAATTACGAATTAATTGGAGTATGAGACAATTACAATAACTAATAGTGTGCATTGAAGTAATAAAATACTATATATTGAATTATTTTTTATCTCTCACGGGACATTCTATGGGCCGAAACGAATGTTGCCCCCTAAAATTATTCCTCATAAGGCATACATCCCATTACTTTATTTCAAAATTGGAGAGTCACACTTCCCTAGTTTCCCTTGTCAGTAATACAGCAACTGGATTAAGCTGGTATACGCGTATAGGCTCTTCTATTAAAAATAACTTTCAAATCAGCACAAAATGTGCCACTTAAGTGTGTAATAGTACCATTAAAATTCCTTCAGGTTGCATTTAAGAATGTAAAAGGCACATTAAGCAAACAATTTGGTTCAGCGGGTTATAAGCTTTCTCTTGAAAACTACCACCAAATCTCTTTAAAAAAAAAAGCCATTTAAGTGTGTGAAAGTGGCTTTTTCCAAAATATATGCCTTCGAATAGAATCTGTGATGCTGTAATTGTTAATAGTTAATTCAATTCACTATTTAAAAAAATGGAAACACTACAGAGCAGTTGACGATATGTTTTTATAAAAATAAAAATAATTCTTAACCCTTAACTGTAATCTGCCCGTAAAATAAGACTGTTGAAAAATCAATTATTTTCTTCCTTAGGCTGCAAGTTTTTAAAAAAAAAATTTTAAATGAAGTTATTGGAAAAATGACAAAAAATTAGCATAACGTGAAAAAAAAAAAATTTTTTTTAAGTTTTAAAATCATGGTTGCCCTTTTACAGATCGCCGCATATAATTGTTTATTTGCCCTTAAATTTTATTTGAAAAACATTCTTAACTCATATAAACCACTTTGCACTAACTAAATACACCGATTAACTTTTTATTATAGTGTTTCCCAAATGGAACATATTCCAAAAAGTAGAAAGGGATGAAAGTATATTAAATATTTATTTTAAAGTATACTTAGTTTAACCATATATCATTTATCGTGTGTCTTAAGATGGATGACGTTTTTCAAAAACAGTTTTTGTATTATTTTTATAATGCATTTGGAGATACAAGTATATAACTACTGTATAGATATTTAACATACTATGACATACTTTACTGTCTAAGTTTATTTAAAGAGAGAAAAATGAACCGTTAGTTAAAAATGAGTTTATGCTAAACACGAATTTTTCATGCAATATAAAGTTGCTTAACTATATATTCAAACTATATGTAAATGATACGATTTATGGTTCATAGAAATTTTTCTGCTAGTTTCCGATTAATGACTTCGTTTCGCTTCTTGACTCGCACCACTGTTGCCATATTCCCAAAGCTCTATACCCAAACTTCCGACTCTCATTTTTATACCGGCTAAACTCACATGCATTAGACAAATCATGAATATTTGATGGTGCCGGGAAAAGATCTCTCCTCTCGAGTAAAGTTGAGATGTTTTTCGTGGTGCCTTTATGAAATGTCTCCTCCTCTTTTAATGGAAGTTGATTTTAAACATCCTTCAAAAATGTGAAAGAGAGCACTTCCCGTGTACTTTTGTTTGAATCATTTTTATCTCCGACTTATTTATCTTTTCCGTCCTTTCTGCCTTGTTAATGTGGCTCTCTATTGCCGAAAACTACTGTCGTTCTTTTTGAAAAGGTTTTTACAAGGTTGGAAAAAGGTTTTTCGGCCCTCGTTAAGTTATTTATCCGCTACAGCAAATATTTTTCATGCTCAAAATACAACAAACGAGGAGCTTTTGAATTTAATATTGCACCATAAATTGACGAACAGCTGAAATAATTCAAAACTCTGCCCGATTTATTTATAAGAATTTCACAACTTAAAAGTAAAACTACATTTTCCAAGATTGCAAACAATCAAATATGGTTTAGGAAATTATGCATCATACATACTTGTTTGTTTTACTTGGCTTGAGACATTTTAATTTATAATATCGTGTAACTTATTATATTTGATATTTTGTAATACAATCTAACTGAATTTCCTAAAATGTTCCTTTTTCATTTGATGCTCTCTCCTTTTTATTCTATAAAAGAACCAAAGCTTATAAATTTATTTATAGGATGAAGTAAATACTAAAAGTTTTTTAGCCTTTCTTGTTCGCAGTAAAACTATGATAAGCAAATCTGATATTTTTATGTCATAATCTTGAGAGTATAATCTTAATTCAGAAACAGAATTCATTGAACATGTATCATATATATATATCATGTTCTTACATAAAAAATACTTTACTTTACTTTCCTCGGTTACTTAATTTAATTTACACATTCGAAAGCGAGCTGATGTTAAAATATTATATTTTGATAATTATTAGTTTATATTACTTTTATTTTATGTTAGAAAATATTTTCTAATTCAGTTAAATATTAATATACGTGACGTAAAGTTTATTTTATTACCGATGTTGAACAGCGGATCTGTAGCGTATTAGCGGCTATAAGTGTTCGACTTAGAAGTCTTGTAATTTTGAATCTGATACAGAAGACAAGGGAGCACCTGAATTAACCATTGAGAAAAATAAAAGGCTCTTTTATGAAACCAAACTACTTTTGCATTACATAGTGAGTAAAATCAAAAACTCTTCAATGGTTTATCTGACTAAAGGGGATTCTATACCATGGCCATTCAAATGCAAGCCTAAAGCTGTATGCAAACCAACCATCCTTCAACCTGGGAGGCGAGCGCTCAGTCATCTCAGCTCACGTGACCTTCATAACACTAAATTCGTATTCAGCAGTGAAAATTACAGATTAAGTAACAGTGTGTGTTCACATCTGTACAAAATCTCTTTCTACGCATCTTAGAAACTATCCATTTATATTATTATTTTATTATTTGAATTGTATTTAAAGCTACTGAGATAGAGCTGATCATTATCACCTCATATGACCAAAGTTTACCATATTCACCAGATTACAATAAAGACTACATAGTTCACCATAAAGACTATAATGTATTTTTCTCTATGGTGACGTGTTAAAGAAGTCGTGTGTATACGGTATGAAAGTTCTAATGCTAGTTTAATGAAATAAGTCAGTCTCGCTATCCCTTCCAATTGATCCTAAAAGATTTAAATTAAATTTTCGTGGAACTTACGATTCGTCATTGTAATTAACTAATTTTGAGGGGAGGTTTGTTTCAATTTTTAGTTCTTTTTCGTTTATGAACATAACTTAGAAACAGGTTGTGTTATTTGTGCTGGTGCAGCGTTATTAGATTATATTTAGCACTTCCAGGGGGGTGAAGACTTCAATGGCTAATTAATGAATGATCTAAAGTCACCATTTGAAGCTTCATTTTTTGTTCTAGGTTTGGTGTTATTCATAATAATACCTCATTGTTTTTCAAAATATTTAAACAACTTTTACTTTGACAGACCCTCCGAGAATCGAGACGGCTCCCCAGAACCAGACTGTGCTCAACAACGGCGTGGCAAGCTTCGTTTGTGCGGCAGTTGGCAATCCCAAACCACAAATCGAATGGAGGAAGAATGGAAAGAGGGTTACCACCCAGAGGTACACAGTTCAAGAAATGCCCAATGGATCGGTGCTCAGGATAGACCCCGTCAAAGCTGGCAGAGACGATGCCACCTACGAATGTGTGGCTGAAAATGGAGTAGGAGAGCCAGAAAGGGCTCTTGCCACCCTAACTGTTTTGTCTGGTAAGTAGTGTCCTTGTAGCGAAAAAAAATGTGTGACATTAATTTTTTTTAAACTTTATTAATTCATGAATCATATGCAATAATTACTTAATTAGTCTTCTGTTTCTATAATGTAGATTTCAATATCGTTTGCTTTAAATTCTAAAAACTTGAGATTCCAGTCAGCCACATTGGAAATGTTTAGGATTTCCAAGTGCTTTCTCTTTGAAAGTGCTTTGCATCTTTAGTGCCGAACTTGGGAATGTACTCTTTACAAAGCCTCATCTTCTTTCTTTTCTTTTTTTTTACTCACCTTATGTGGCTGCAGTTGCAACTTTTAGATTCCAGACAAGGTACGATTTCCTTCATGCCCGTCTTTTTCTTTTAGACATTGTTGGCATGTTCTCTTTGGGTGACTGGTCAGGATATGAGTGACCTGAATTATCTGCTTTCTCTTTGACGATTGGGAGAATATTGGACAGCACGGTCTAATGGTCTATTTGCTAAACGATAATAGCGACACTTATAAATAAATGATCCATTTTTTTATAACTTGCGTACGCTCCCGTATGTAAGATTTCTAGTAATTGCGCGCTTCTAGTGCGCATGCGCCCGTGAAAAAAATATACTTACGTAAGTGAAAATGATAGATTCTACAAAAAATCCGTAAGTTCAAAACGCTAACGTAGTGGGATATCATTTCAAGATCAAAACAAACATTTACAATGAACGTAGACTATCTCTTTAAAGCTATGTTATACGATTCAAGATAACTGTGCGTAAAACTGCGGTTCTGTGAGCAGAAAAATAAGATTATAGATTTTATGAATTTAGCGATAAAGAATGCAGCTTATTATTATTATTAATTATATTTAAAGAATATTTTGTTGAATTTTTATTGACTATTCATTGACATTTGACTTTTAACTGAATTATATAGTTAAAATAAATATAATTTTAAAATAGCGAAAATATATTTAGTTTCTTATGAAACTAGTGCAATTAAGCAACCATAATATTAAACAAAAACCAATAAAATTATTTTTTTATTAAATGAACCAGTTGTTGTAAGATCACAAGATTCATTTCTAAATTTTATTAATAAATTTCTTCAAATTCGCATTCTGCGTCCATGTTTTTATTCGGAGGCAGGCTTAAACAAAAAACAACATTTAACAGCTTTAAACAGCGTGTTTGTATCGTAAATCATGCCAACGTAACTTAAAGATACTTAGCATCTAAAATTAACGCGAACATACGCGGTTGCTTCAAATTTACGTACGGGAGCGCCCGGAAACTAACGTAAAAGTGCAAAATCTCCCTAATACCATGATTTAGCAGCCAAATCGTGTCCGACACTTGACGTCGCTTGCAGGTATCAAATTAAATCCGATCCGTAAATTTATTCAGAATGATTTGGAAAAAAAAGAAGAAAAAAATATTTGCTCTAACGCTAACACGTCATGCCCAACAACGTGATTTGAACCAACCATGCGATTTCAGCAGTATTCTTTTCAAGTTGCAAGTACTCGATTCTTGAATGAAACGATTTTAATTCCAGATATTTACGCAATCAAAAATGTCAGATACGATTGGGTATTAATTTGAAAACAACATTTTTGTAGAGTTTTTTTAAAAAAGGCCTTGTCTGTCTTATTATTCATTCATTTTACTCTAAAAAATAAAAATATATGTTTTAAAACACATTGTATGTAAGTTGTTGGACATTTGTTCGCTTATTTAAACAATTATTCCAAAATTCCCTTTCAAATATCGCTTTCAAGCATATCATTATATCACAACAAATATCTTTTCTATACATTTTATTATTGAAAGTCGTTTTAAAAAATAGCCTTTTATATTTCTTAATCGTCTCATTCATCTGAAACAAAATTAATCGTCTGCTATTTCACGAACAATATATACATAATACAACATATTATAAAAGTTAACGATGTGCAAACATTATAAATCCCTTTTATTTTTTTTTCTAATATGATAATGTCGTCGCCTTTAAAAAAATTAAAATACCTGCCTTTAAAAAAATCTTTTTAAAACTGAAAGGAAACGACAAGGAGTGGAGACAAAAAGAATTTTTTTTTTTACTTCTTATGCTACAGAAGACAGGATTATTCTCCGATTTAAAAGCATGTGATAGGCTGACTACGCGTCTCTCTTTAACACCAGCTCCAAGCACTCTGTTTACTTAGGTAATCCCAAATGGCAACCTTTAGCTCTGACTTTCGTAACCATAGAAACGCACGATCAATAATCCAGGTGCAAATTTGTATTGTAGAGACTTTTAGCTTAAACGCGTTCTTCCTCAATAGAATTGTTGAGAGCGTACGAAATATATATATAAAGCGAATATTTTATTTAGTTTTTTCAGTTTCCGATTTGTAAGACGAACAGGAAACGGGCGATTTCTAAAGCTTCTAAGCGTTGGCGTTTTAGTCCGTTTTAATGGGAGAAAAACCACGTTTAGCGAACGAGGACTAAATGCTTTTTGTTGCATTCTGTGTTATAATGATTGTTTATGCAAAACAGTGGAACATTTAGTAGTTCCACTTTGTGACGCCAAGTGAGCCGTTATAGTAACGTTGTTCATTCGTTAAAAAAACAGTTCGAGATGTATTTCTACAAATATTTAGTTGCTAATGGACAGGAATCTGCCTGTAGCTACATGTTAAATCTTCGAATGTACATGTGCATGCAAAAAGAATATGACACAATGAAATTAATTTATTTTATTTATAAACAAACAAACATTTAAATTTTTGTTGCTGTTTGCAATACATGTCTATAAATAAAATTAAAATAATTAAAAAAAATATGTAATTAATAAGAAAAAGTTTAACGTGAAGTATTGAATTTAAAATAAAATTTAATAAAACTGTTGCCATGTATTGGCTGTATTAGGGGCTTCGAAAAAGATACTTGCTCAAATTGTATCGGTTGTTTTTTCAAATTCAGTTACTGGTAATTTTTTGCTATGGAATCATACTGAGTTTCGTAACAAAGGTTTTGCACCTTGTATTTCTCATGGTTTATTTTTTAATGAAAGAAACTTTATTTTCAATTAATATTTTCGAATCAATTATATAGTCAATAGAATTCTAATTACATTGAAAAATTAGCGTGATAATTTTCTTTACATGATAATTCAATAATATCCAGTGCTTTTAAACGCCTCATAAAAATGAATAAACATCGTAATATTTCAAGAAAGAAAAACTTTTTTTTAATTATCAAAAAAAAATTTAAGGAACACAATTCCATAAAAAATGGAATAGGTGGCGTATTGCAAAAATATTAATCCTCCCTACAGAAGAATACGAATCCAGAAAATGCCCCTTTTATACTTCAATTTCTCTAAGCTTTCAAAGATAGTCTAAATTACAGCATATGATAAGCAAATCAAAGATTAGAAATGCATTGCCGTTCAGCTAACTGTACATGATTTTTATAAATCTTTTCACCGCGTAACGCAACCTTAATCTCAGAAAATCCTCACAAATCCTGTGCAAAACAAAATATGCACTGATACTTTAATCAAGAGTTCTGTTTCACTATACGTTAACAGTTATGTGATGTAACAAACTCAAAAAAATCGAAGTATCATTAAATATTACTATTGAAACAGAATTCATGAATCATAAAATAATATCCGCTGGGAATCAATCTCTTTACAATAAAAAGAAGATATGCCTTTTGCATCCTTCATCGAAATGGTCCACCATACCCTGTGTCAAAAATATTTTTAAAAAATTAACACATAACTCACACAAATACACTATATAATTAGACACAGAACTCTTATAATGAGAAATAATTCTTTGGTACTTAGACACAATAATCATATATTAAGGAAAAACTCTCAGATAATTATAAAAAATCTAATTGTAGGATTCAGAATTAAGTTAATAATATAAAATCGATGCTGGGACACAATACTGAAATATTCAGAGAATAAGCCGTAATATTCGTGTTGACAACATTCAGTCAATAGGTCACAATATTGAGATTCACAATACGCATGATGAGGCACATATTCGGAGAGTAATTCACAATACTCATGATAAGGCACATATTCGGAGAGTAATTCACAATACTCATGATAAGGCACATATTTGGAGATTAATTCACAATACACTGATTCTAAAGCCCAACTGTCAGATACGATGCAACCCTCATATAGTAAGACACTACATAGATAATAAAACATTATGTTTAGTAAGTACGACACAGGACATACATAATAAGACATAATTTGCATTTATTTAAGATCTCAAGATAATGTAACACATTGTAACGCTATTGCATATAGCAGCATCTTTGCAACATTGTTATTAATTTATGGAAAGAAATTCTTTCCGGATTTCTCAGCCGAAAACTTCTTTAAATTAAATTTACGATCATTAATCATTCATTTTCAAGTACGTTTTCCAGAATTTTCAGAATAGTAATGCAGTTTGAACATACAGGGTTATTCATAATTCCCTCCGGGGGGAACTGGACTATCACATTGATGTATGCCGTGAGACCAAGTGTTAACACTTAGAACACCTATAATGTATGTAAGTAAAACTTGAATAGTTTCGGAATGATTTCATATGTTTCTTTTTTTCATATTCGTCTTCTTTTTTTTTTTTTTTTTTTTTAAACTATAACTCTTCGACAGTGGACAAAATGGAACGATAAAGCGAAACGGCAGAAAAAGAAGATTAAGAGATTGTAAAGCAAAATATTCCAATTTTAGGACACAATATGCAACTGATAAGACACAATAACGCAATACAATATGCAATATATAAGACACAATACGTAATTAATGACACAGAATACGCAATTTATAAGACAATACTCAAATAATAAGAAACAATACGCAATTTAGAAGACACAATACGCAATTAATTACACAATGCGTAATTTATAAGACATAATACGCAATTTATAAGACACAGAATACGCAATTTATAAGACACACAATACGTGATTAATAAGACAATACGCTATCAATA